TCAGGGAGGGGGAGGGGCGGGGTGGGGTGGGGGGAGGCGATCCTCGGCGGAACCACCGCCACCCTCCTGCTGGTCCACCGAGTCCGCAGCTGTGGCGGCTGTGTGGCTTGGCAGAAGAATCTCAGGCACTGAGGTTTACTTCCAAGAACTGACTGTGGGTTCCCGCCCGCCCTCGCCCGCCCTCGCCCACCCTGTGCCCGCTCCCAGGGACTCGGTATGGGAGGGCAGGAAGTGGAAACTAGTCTCTCTCACTCCCCTTTTATGTTATTTTTACCTTAAAAAGAAATAAATAAAAGTCTTCCGGGCAGAAATTACTGATAACTGTTATTACAACCAACGCAGACTTTAAAAAGCCCCACCTGGATGTCTGGCGAGAGCGAGAAGGGTGGGCAGCAAACTAAGCCGCAGATCAAGCAAACGGTGGGTCGGCAAGCCCGGTCCTGCTCACGTTCCGCCAGACGGCGGCTGCTGGCAGGGGAGGAAGAGGCCTCACGGGCAGGGTCTGCCCAGAGCGACAGGTACGGCGGCCACCGAAAACTCCCAACCGGAACCACGGGAGGGGCAAGAACAAAAAACATCCAAAGGGAAGGGAAGAGAAAGCCGGATGGTGGCAGTAAGGCCTCGGCGTCCCTCCCAACCCCAGGTGACGATTCCGAGGCGCCCGGGGCCTTCCACCACCTCGGAGGCCGGCGCGGGGCGTCTGGGGGGGGGACCACCGTGCCGCTCTGCTAGGAGGCTGCTGCCGGCCCGCAGAGCGCCAGGCTGGCTCCCCCTCCATGGAAGCCTGGTGCTGAGAAGCTTCGTGGGTCGGAGACCCCAGGGCAGCCCCCCCTGCCCCGCCCTTCAGGGCTGCCCACCGCGGGGCGACGGTTGCAATGATCCCGGCTGCAGAGAGAGGCTGCGGTGGGCCGAGTCCTGCCAGCAGGGGCCGGGGGCCCTAGGTCCTAGGGAGGCTACACATCTCGCAGTGGCCGGTGCCCGGCTGGTTCATGAAGGTGCAGTGCTGACAGGCCCACATGGCGGCCGTGGCAGCGTGCGTGGAGCCGCCCACGGCTCCATACTCCTGGAGGCCTGGAAGCTGCACTCCGACCGTGCCTGTGGGGGGGAGAGAAACGGCCACTCGTCGTGGTTCGTTGGTAGCGGGTGGGGCGTGGAGGGCCGCCCCACCCGCCCCAGAGCTCTCCTGCACCGCCCCCAGAGCAAATGGGGGCTCGCAAAGAAAGCATTACAGGTAGGGACGGCCTGGGTGCCAGGACCCCCACTGCGAGTCCCCTGCTCGCACACAGAACCCCGCTAGATACACGACACCGTTGCCCGCAGAACCCGAAGCCGTCACCCGTGACCAACTCTACCCCACCGCCACCCTCCTCGTGTGCCGTGTCCATGGCGCCCTCCTTCCTCCTGCTGCGTGTGGGCTCTTTGTGAGAACACCGGTGCTGGCTGCCCACTTCCCTGGTGATGGCCATCTGGGTCGTTGACAGTTCCGAGCCGTTATCAACAAAGCTGCCATCAACATGCTTGCACGCACCTCCGCGTGGGCCTGTGTTTGCACGTCTCGGGTGAAAACCTAGGAGCGGGCTCGCCGGATCCCAGAGGAAGTGACCGTTTACAAAACGCGGCCAGACGGCTTTCCCGTCCTCACCAGCGTGGGCGAACTCGCGAGCACGTAACACTGCCAGTTTCTCGTCTCAGCCACTCTGCCGAATGGGTAACGGTCTCTTGTTTATTGCACTTTGCGTTTCCCTGACGACTAACGATGGTGACCGTCGCCGTTACCTCTTTTTGTGAAATGTCTCGCCCGGTTGTTGTGTTTTTAAATTCGAGTATGGGTGACGTACAACTTTCTATTAGTTTGGGTGCCCAACATGGTGACTCGACGGTCCTGAAAGTTACCCAGTGCTCCCCCCACGTTATCACAACATCCCTGACTGTTCCCCGTGCTGTGCTGGTCAACCCCGTGCCCGGTCTCTCTGGGCATTCCTGGGCTGACGCTGAGGGCCCCGGAATATTCAAGCTGTTGCCATCCGCATTCCCGTGTGAAGGATTCAAACGGAACGGTGCCGGCGTGGGGGCCACGGGTACAGAGACTTGCACCAGGGGCTGAGCGCCGCTGGCTGGCACCAGACCGCCGTTCTCCCGAGGACACAAGGCTGCAGGCCTACGTTTTCGGGAATTTGGTGGGGAGACCTTGTCCTCTGCCTCAGAATACGCGAGCAGTGTTTCAGAACGCCAGGGCAAGAGTAAAGGCACGTGGAGCCGGGCGCGTTACTGGTCCGTCAGAATCGTATAGGAAAAAACCTGACGAGCAGCGCAGCACAACAAATACTAGGCCTTTCGGGCCCCCGATCCCCCGGGGACCTTAACATCAAGAGAGAACAAGAACTCTCCATCTGGGTGCCCTCACAGCGGAGACTCCACTGGCTCTAAGATCTACCCACTGCACTGAGCAAACGCTACAGGCGCCCCCCCATGTGGATTTGCCAAGCCGTGTGAAGAGGGCATTCCAGAGCTCCTCAAAGCCACAGGGCAAAGGGCTGCACCGCGGCCACCACTCTCAGTGCTCGGCCGGACGGGTCGGCCACAGCGTAGCACCTGCCCGGAAGGAACCACAGACGGAAGGCTCTTCCTGGGCAGCGTGCCGAGTCAGGTTCCGAGACACAGATCCCCACATTCTCTTCGGAACACTTTCCCTCCTTATCCATCGAGAAAGTTCGGAGGACCAGCAGAAAGAAGGGGAAAAAGAAAAGGCTGAGACCAAAGGTTTCTGGCCTTTCAGCACTTACGTGAATGTGAGGTTTCTGTTTATCTAAAATAAGGGCTTTCGAATTGCTCCTAAGACGCTGGACGCTTAGCAGATCCCCCATATACGTGTGGGTGCGTGCACGGAACTGTATCCCAACGATCTGGGTGACCTTTACAGCACGCACGTTACAGCAACGAGAAGGGCCGTGCTCGTGTGATGCCCCATGACACCTGTCGGGGCGCACCGGGGGGTCCAGCTCCCAGGACATAAGCAGCTTTGCCTGGGCTCCAGCGCTAGGAGTAGGAGAGCAGGACCCTCGGGACTGAGGAAAGGGAGGACACTTACTGCAGAGCTGCTCGATGGTGGCCCACTGTTCAGATTTCTTCCACGTCTGCGCGAGCTCCTCATTTCTGGTCCTCACAGCCTCCAGCAACAAGCTGATGCTGTCCTGCAAGAACCCAAAACCGAAGGCTCCAACTGGCTTTGCCTATGGTGGACACACTCCGCTTAATAAGCTGCTTCTTATTAACCGTGTGTTGGGAAACATCAAGACACTCTTCAAAGGGAATGTAAAAAACCTCACAGGCCGTCACCATGAAACATAATACCACACACCTAGGTCTATACATCTACATGCTGAATTTTAGTGCTAAAGTTTAAGTTCTTCCCAAATAGCCCTAACGTGCTGCTCTCTGTCCTAAGCCAACCAGCGCTCTCAGCCACCGGACACTGAAGCTCACATTCCTTTCCCTGAGGGCCCAGATGCACAGACAGGCGCCTGTGGTCGTGGGGTCCACCCTCCACCCTCACGCTTCTCCCTGGAGGCTCTCTACCTTCTCAACCAAGTCTGTAAAAATGCTCTCTAGATCCCAGGCCTCCAGGGTCAACGTGCAGAGAATTAAAATAGTTTATACGTTGAGAATCTATAAGAAAGCTTTAGGGGCTCTCAGGAGCTCCCCGGAAAAATGTTTTCCAGCAGGTGACCGCCAAACAGTACGTGTTTACTGGCAAGGAGGCCGTGGTGCGAAGAGCCCAGGCTTTCGTCACCTGTCCAACCGGACCGGCAGTGGCTACACTTGGGGCCGGGGGGGCCACTCTCTGGGTTTAACAAGGCAGGCAAAGAAAGCCAGTGGGGAGTCTCGGGGTGCCTGATATCAAATACCAGAAGTGGGCAGTTCGGGGACAAAATACAGACACAAGATAAACCCAGCAGGACCCAAGAACGGCTATAGGCCACCTGACATAGGAGAACAGTGGGGAGGGAGGGGCATCTCCTCTCCTCTCTGTCACCTGCAGGGAATGTGTTGAGCCAGTGGCTCAGAAAGAACTCGTCCCCCTCTCTCTGGTGTTTCCTTGGGTCTCCGACAGAAAGGCGGCACAAAATAAGTAGGGGCCTCCTGGCTGGACCCACTGACCACCGCCTACCGCCCCCTATCCCCGCAATGCTCAGATGGCAGCAGTGTCGGTGACAGACGCCCTCTTCTCCCTGACGGCATGCCTTAAAAATGCCAACTATGCAGCTGTGCACTCAGGGTCTGGACGCTGGCCAACCTTCTGGGCCTAGGCGATAAAACCAAAGCTGATTCAGGAGGAGGCGAGAGATCAGTAAGAAGCAGAGGCTAGGATTCCAAAACCGTTAGGACAGAAATTACGTAAATGGTTGATCTCTAAAGCTCCACGCTAGAGGACACGGAGCTCACTATTGTCTGCCTCCCACGGGATTATAACAAACGAAGCTGTCCTCCATCACGGGGGGGCAGACACTTAAAACAAGTTGTTTCAGTGCAAATGCTTCGTGTCAAAAATCCATCATTCTACCGGCAAGCCCCTTGTGAAAAGCCACCGCCCGCAGGACGTTAAGAGGGACTGCGACCCGGCTTCCCAGCCACGCTCTGGCTTGAGAGGAAAAGCAGCGTCTCTTTATAGTCAATCCCGCCCGAGGACCACAAAGCCAGGCCCTCGGCGGGCGGGCGCGCGCACACAGGCCGGGCCCGTACCTGCAGAGGCATGACTTCATTGGTGACCAGAAAGAGCAGGAGATGGAAATCCGAGATGGTGTCCAGGAACACGGAGGAAGTATTCTGGGACAGGTAGGTGGCCAGACTGTGGAAGTCCTAGAGTGGTGAGGCAGAAGGACGCAGTGAACGGGAGCATGCTGTGGCCACCCCACTGCCCAGACAGCTGTCCGTCTCCGCCTGGGCCACGGCCGAATGCAGGGTGCGGACACACACCTCTCCCGTCTCGTTCTACAGCCACCGACGGGGACCCAGGCATAGGGACGCACGTGGCCGTGGCACAGGCTGTGGCCCTCGGCACACGTGACCCATCGAGGGACGTGCAAGGGAGCACGTTTATAAAGCTGACCCGGCTGGGAGACGCGTTCAAAAAAAGACACGTCCAAGTGGAGTGGCTGCGGGAAGGGCCCACTTCGGGGCGAGACGACTGGTCTGTGTTCCCTGTGCAGCTGCGCTGTTGACTGGGGCAGCGTGACTGCAACGAGGAGTAACCATGCGTGCGAGTTGGGGGGATTATGAGACGCTGCGCCTTCGGCAAAGCTCCGAACAGTTCGAGAGAGCCACCCGGTAAGTGGCTCTGCACCGCTACAAGCGGCCCGGGTCCCCGCACAGACAGATGCACCTAGGAACACACGTGTCCTGGACCATCCGTGTGGCAGCACGAGGCAGCTTCAGCAATTCTGCACGGCCTCCGCTGTGCCTCAGAGGAGGGGTCACCGCGCAGGACGTGGCGGGAAGCCCAGGCGGCCGGGCCGCCCGAGGCCCACGCGGCAGGATGACAGAGCAAAGAGAGACATCTCCACAAAGACGGGACGCTGGTCAACAAACAAATGACACAAAAGTTGTTGGGAGAGGACACAAGTGATGAATAGAGCTGGGGAAAAAAAGAAGTCAGCCGACCACGGCTCTTCCGGCAGATCCACAGGCCTGGGGTCTCCGAGGATTTGCCTTTGTGGGGATTCATCAACCCCACTCCAGAGAGGGTGTCACGGTGACCAACAGTGTCTCGAAAAAAGTCCCAGCTTGTGGTTTTGCCGTAAGAATCAATCGGGAGAGTGTAAAAGCTTGGTACTTTCTGGGAAGACGACACTGACACCAGATAAACAAGCGGCAGTTACTTTAAATTATGTTTGTAAAGAAAAGAGCTTACCTGTGTCTCACCCAACACGTCCCGGTTCTCAATAGGAAACGGATTTTGCGAAATAGAAAAAGTATAAACTGGATCCTTGGGGAAAGTTGTTGTGATCTAATGAACAAAAACACAAAGCCACGATCACGCGTGTGCCAACGGGTGAGGGCGGCCCTCAGGTGCCACAAGCAGCGCCGATCACGACGCCCTCCCCGAGCTCCGAGTCCCTCACGGCCGCGGAGGCCCGGCTGCTCCACGCTGGACGCAGCGGTTACCCGCTAACGACACGCCTGAGTGAAACCCCTGATGCTCAGGACTCTGGGAAGCAAACCGAAGAATCGTTTTTGATGATTTCTAGGATCATGCCATTTGTGGGCGGTTTCTGTAAGCCGACGATAAGCCAGAGGGTACGCCGTGGGAGCACAACGGACGAGGCTGGGAGAACTCTCAGGGGCAGCCCGCGACGGTCTGAGAGGCGCAGTGACCTCCAGAGAGCCCGCGGCACCACTGCAGGGGGTCAGGACACGTCCAGGCCGCAAGGGAGCCGCTGCTCAGCCCTGAGGCGCGGCGCACGGCGATCCCGCTCCCCCTCAGACGGGCTGGAGTCAAGAACGTGTGTCCAGGGGGGAACCTAAACTCTTCATTTGGCTCAGACGTGCTTTCCTAACAACAGAGAGCGTTTTAAATCCAGCACACAATCGACAGACACTACAGGACAGTGGTAAATGTGCAACAATCGATACAAATAGTTTTCACTCCTCTGGGCAGATGCTCCCCCGCCCCAAAGTGCCACATTGTGGCTGACGCAGCTTTTCCTCTGCAACGTGACACCAGCGGCAGCGGATTACACCTCGTCCAGATTCAGAGCAGCTATTCTGGTTCCTTTGGGACTATTTCTCGAGGAGGAAAGTGTTGTTCTGGTCTGTTTTCTGCATCGGCGAAGGCAGCGGGCTGTCTGGGGCTGGCCCGGGATGTGCTGTGACTGTGCCAGCAGGCTCAAGGACAAGCTGAGCCGGCAGCAGCATCTGAGACCAGAGCCCTGACGGTCTTGAAGATTTTATTTTACTCTTTAAAACAATTTTTTAAAGTTTATGAATTTATTTTAGTAAAGAAAGAGCGTGAGCCAGCAGGGGAGGGGCAGAGAAAGGAGAGAAAGAGAGAGAGAGAAAGAGAGTGAGTGAGTCCCAAGCAGGCTCCACTCCTCGTTGTGGGGTTCCATCTCATGACCACGCAACTGTGACGTGAGCCAAAATCCAGAGTCAGGTGCTCAACCGAGTGAGCTGCCCAGGCACCCCAACTGAACAATTTGTTTTTACTTTTATTTTTGTTTATTTTTAAATGTTTATTTTTGAGAGAGAGAGGACGTGCATGAAAGCAGGTGGGGGGCACAGAGAGAGGGGGACGAGGGATCTGAAGTCGGCTCTGCGCTGACAGCAGCGAGCCCGACGCGGGGCTCGAACTGACGAACCTCGACATCATGACCTAAACCGAAGTTGGATGCTTAACCGACTGAGCCACCCAGGCGCCCCATTTAAAGATGTTATTTTTACGTAATTTCAGCACCCAATGTGAGGCTTAAACTCACAACCCTAAGGTTAAGAGCCACACACTCTACCGACTGAGCCAGGCTGGCACCCAGCCCACTCATCTTTTACTGACGAGAGCATGCAGCCGTGTGGACTCCAGCCCCGGGGCCACGTACTGGCTGTGTGGCCTGTCAGCTGCGGACAGATCCTAGGCCTCACTCTGTCCCTCTGCAAGACAAAGACAGCCCCGAGTGCCCACAGTCACCAAGGTTCAGACACGCAAGCCTGCATTATTAGTCTCAGCCTCTGTCCTTGCTGCAGAGACAAAGGTCTGTGGACTGTGCAGTGCTCTCCCTTCGGGAGGCAGAGACAGTGGTGGACCAGCACAACAGGGCACCTCCCAGGCCACGGATGTGGAATTAAGAGAGGTCTGTGCTGGACTTGTAACCTCCCCTTAGAGCACGGCCGAACCAAAGCGCCCTAGGCGGTCTGTGAATATCTCAGACACCGGAGAGGGGTGCGGTGAGCCCAGCACCTCGTCTCCTGTTTCAGTGCCCCCCACCCAGCCAGCTTCAGGTCATCTGGCCAATGCCCGGCTGCCTCCACAGCACATCCACGGCATTCCGGGTAGCGAGGCCCATCCCTCCTCTTGCGTGACATTAGTGGCCCGGTCACGAGGTTTGAGGACATCAGACAAGCCTGGTCGGGCGTGGGGCTGGAGATGGCCGTCTGGTCTGGACACCTGCTCTCAAGGGACTGTTCCAGCCTCCCTCCACAAGAACAGAGAGCTCAGGTGTCTCAGGGCGCAATGTTCCCTTACAACCAAGCTCACTGACAGAGCACACTAAGCAAGAACTCGGTTCTTTTCTAAAAGGAAAGGGGTGGGGAGGCCACGGGGAGGGGAGACCTCAGAAAGCTGGCTTTAAATCATGCCGACCCCTCCTAAGTGTATGTTCCATCAATCTGTTTTCATCTTAATTACACCCTAGGTAGTCTAACAAACAGATGCCTTTACGGCCTAGGTAATAAATATGTTCTCGGGAGCTGTCAATTGGAATGGAGCACCGGTGGGCTTGGCTCACGGGGACCTGCTGCTCCAAATGCAATGATATTTTACAGCCTGAATCACATGCCCTTCCTGAGTCCAAACACGGCCGAAGAGATCCTGGCCGGAAGCAGTCAGGAAACGAGCCGCTGCCCATCCCCTTGGGACGGAGCTGGCTGCTACAGATGCCTCGGGCACTGGAGCCCTCTGTGGCGCTCTGGCCGGGGGCCACACCTCCCGCAAGGAGGGGAGCCTGGATGGTGGAGCCAGCTGCCTCCTTGGCTCCTGGAGCTCTGCCCAGGAGAGCACCCGCCGACTCACCCGAGGACAGTCACAGCCGTGTGCCCCCGGGACTGACTCAGGTGAGGCGGCCCACCGCGAGCCCGGCCTGGCAGCCGCACCGTCACCAGCACAGCACCGAGCACATCGAGCACAGAGCCACGCCGGGCTGGCTGGCTGATCTCCAGAGGCCGCCTGGCCAGGTCGCTGGTCCAGGGTTGCATTTTTGTCAGGGAGAGGTAAACCCTAAGTTGTTTTTAAGGAAGTAAAAAAACAAGCTAGAAGAAAACCCCCATAAAGTCACCAGCTTTTCGGGGATGACAGGAGCTCAGGGATTCACACGCTTTCTGGGTGGCTGTCCCGGGCCAGGTAGAGGGGCGACTGTCCACGCCGCAGCCGCCACTGAACGCAACCCCCACCCAGCAGCCCGGGGGGGTGGACGACGCACACTTACGTCTATGATCAGATACTCCACGGGAAGGGGCCGGGCCAGCTGGGTGATCTCATTGCCAAACTTGTCTATGTCCTGAAACGGGAAACAAAAGTGAGAGGTGTGAGCAAGGGTTTGCTGACCAGTGACACGGCTGGCCTCTCACAGGCTTGTCTTACCTGGTCAATGGCCACAATTCTTGTGGAGTATGTAAAAAGGAGAGGAAGATGTGCATGTTTTTGTCCCGCATCTGCCTCTGTTATGATGGCCACAACATGAAGGAGCAGCCGTGTTCTTGGTTAACAGGGTGTCTCCACTGGGAGAGCGTTTTCCAGCACCCCCCCCCCCCCCCCCCCCCCCCCCCCACACACACCAGGCCTGGCACTCGCTGCCCCTTGCAGGACGCATGGCCCGGGCCCCTGCCCGCAGGCCCCACCTGCACCTCTCTGTCCCGCACAAGCGCTCCCCAACCTCGGGACTGAGTGCTAGCTCCTAACCACCCCCCTCACACCCTCCTCTGAAATCCCCACTTCATCCTGTACGTTAATAAAATAAATACGTACGCAAATGAGCACACGTACACACAAATATGCAGACATGGAAAACCCCCGCCACCAATCTGTCAGAGTCTAAACTTGTTCTGCTTTGTCAGATGCACAGAACATAAAGTTTAATTATGGGGAAAAACGGCCAGCATATGTTCATTAATCATAAAATGACAATTATATCTGATTTATGTCAAACATGCTGAGTTCAAACAGAGCTCTAGAAATAAATTCATAAGAACCAACACTTTTCATTAAAGATTCTGTGAGAGGGGATCATATTTTCTATCTAAATCATCACTTAACATCATATAAATCATTCTCTGAGTCATATATAAATTATATATCCATAACTTCCAATTATGAGGCCTTACATAAAAGTTTACACTTATTAAAGCTCTCAAACCTGAAGGGAAGCCAAGCAGGTCCCCCGGAGGGGCTCCCCCTGCAGGATGATGCAGGGCCACCCCGGCACACGGGCACCTTCCCGGGGACGTCAGAGGTGTGCACCTTCTCTCCAGACAACCCACGTCGGTGGTTCCTAAGTCGAACCAGGCTTATCACCCTAATGGCAAGACCAGGGATCCCATTTGGCCCAGATCCTGTTTTTTAGAAACTAAAATTTCTCATCTGCAATACGTCTCAGTTTACCTAGTCTTTCCCTCCCTTCCTTCCAGTCACGATGTAAGAGAGCTGCCCGCCAGCACCTGCCCCTCGGCTCTCCCAGAAAATGGTCCAAACAGCTTGAACCAGCTAGCTATCCAGGGAGCATCAGCACCCGTCAAAGGACACAATCCCGAAAACAACACACCGCTTTGTCTGTCTGCCTTCCTTTGAAGTCGGAGTGACTTCCTACTGAATTCGGGGAAGAGTCACTTGTCCTGCCACGTGCCAGGTGGCTGCCCTGGGCTCGTCTGTGCAGCAGTCAGGTTGGGCCCAGCTTTCTGTGGCCCTGCCGGCTTCACAGGGGCAGCTGGAGACAGGAGACTGCTGAGCGGGTCCTGGGGCCCCAGAGGCGGTGCTTTCTCGACGGAGGAGATATGGTAGGAGGTGGGAATCAAACCCAATCAAACTAAATCACCATTTCCAAAAATATGCGCTTGCCCCTACAAGAAAGAACCTGCAACAACTCATCCATAATTAGCCCATCTGGAATTCATCTTCAAATCTAATTAAGCTCTAATATGCAGAAACATTCCTCCAGCACCTGTTCGCTTTAATCTCCCCCTCTAGGGATTTTTCTTGTTAAATGCCCCTCTCTCCTTTTTCTGTGTCGTGCTATTCTCTTTCAAATTTAACTGCCCAACTGTACCTTTCTGCTCCCCAAGAAAATAAAGGTGTTGCATCCCCCTCTGTTCCCCGGGGCTGGGAGAAAACGGGTAACTTCTCTCTCTCCCACATGCCTCCCTGCTGCTGTCTTTGCCAGCCAGCCCCCAGTCCTCTGCCGCATCTCAAAAGCAATTACTTTTTATGGGCGCCGGCGGATGTCGGGCTGAGGGAGGAGGGCCTCTCAATTCCCGGGTCAGCAGTCAACAAAGCGTCAGCGGTTCCTCGTCCGAGGGGGGCGAGCCTCCGGGAGAGGCAGGGGCCGAGGTCCCCAGCACCCCCCCACCGGCAACGACCATGAGCATAGACCGCGGCACCGTAGCTGTGACATCACAGAGGAGTCCGGGCATCTCTGTCCTTGTGCCAGGAAAAGTGCAAACTCCACTGACCGGGCGGCACCACCTGGCTTTGGAAAAGGCGAATGGAAGCCTTGACGTGCTGCTTTCCTCTTTATTTTATGTTTTAAAGTTTATTTGGTTTCGAGAGACAGAGGAAGAGCACGAACAGGAGAGGGACAGAGAGAGAGGGAGAGAGAATCCCAGGCAGGCTCCGTGCTGTCAGCGCACAGCCTGATGTGGGACCCGAACGCACGAACCAAGAGATCGTGACCTGAGCCGCAATCAAGAGTCAGACCCTTAACGGGCTGAGCCACCCAGGCGCCCCTTTTTTTTTTTTTTAATTTTTTTTTTTTTCAACGTTTATTTTTATTTTTGGGACAGAGAGAGACAGAGCATGAACGGGGGAGGGGCAGAGAGAGAGGGAGACACAGAATCGGAAACAGGCTCCGAGCCATCAGCCCAGAGCCCGACGCGGGGCTCGAACTCATGGACCGCAAGATCGTGACCTGGCTGAAGTCGGACGCTTAACCGACTGAGCCACCCAGGCGCCCCTGGGCGCCCCTTTTTTTAAGTTTACTCCTATTTTGCTTTTCTCTTTGAAGAACTGGCAAGATCTCAGGACAAACTTTCTCCAAGAATCACCGTCTAGGAAACCGTCTCGCTGATAACCACCTGCAAACTGTCAGATGCAGACACAACCAGTCGCCGGCATGTATTAGGTGCTGGTAGCCTACAGTCCAGGCTAGATACCGCGTGCACACAACCCCTGGGTCCCCAGCGCATGATGAGGACACGAAGGGCTACCAAGGTGAGTTAACCTGCCCAAGATCTAACGGCTGGGAGGGGTGGAGGGGGTCAGAGACCCGGTCCATCCACAGCAGAATTCATCTCTGCATCAGAACTTGGCGATCTCCGCTCAACAACGCGATGGCGCCGTGAGGTCGCGCACTCCAACCCTACTCCTCCCCTCGTGGGGACCTTGTGGCCACAGACCCTGGTCCTGACAGCAGATTCGAATGAAAGCCTAGCTTGGAGATTTCAGGTACCACAAAATCCTTCTTCTGAGACTGGACATTATGCTAGTATGTTGTTCAGAATCTCTTCTCTTTTTGGCAATTTCTTGATTAATTGCTAAGTTTTCCTAAATAACGTTGGTAGCAAACGTAATCTCTTGTAATTAAAACATTTTGGAAGGGTGCCTGGGTGGCTAAGTCGGTTGGACGTCTGACTCTGGCTGAAGTCATGATCTCACAGTTCGTGGGTTCAAGCCTTGTGTCGGGCTCTGTGCTGACAGCTCAGAGCCTGGAGCCTGCTTCAGATTCTGTGTCTCCATCTCTCTCTGCCCCTTCCCCATGCGTGCTCACTCTCTCAAAAAATAAACATTAAAAAAAACCCACCATTTGTTTAAAAAAGCTA